TGCTTTTGATTGAAACTAAAATTTTGATTACAGCACTGCACAAGGATATAATATCAATGAATTGGTCAATGTAAAAAGTTGGAGTAATAGTATTTCTGCAACCCATTGGCCTTGGCGCTTGTAACTGAAGGTCATTTGAAGTGGTTCTTCTTCATCACAAACACAAGAGTTGTTTGAATACACAGATTTACTGAGTGCTTTTTGTTACTTCCTTTGTTCTTTTAGAGGTGGAGATGAAGTTCCATTGAAAGTTATATTACTATAATGTCTATTTGTTCCATCACAAAGTTTTTAATTTTATCAGCAATCTTTTCATACATTACAAGAAATTTAGAATTTTCTTTGGCCTGCTTCTCCCATTAAAAAAAAAAAAAAACTATTTCTCAGAATGTGCAGTTCATCCACTGAACAGAAGATTAAATTAATAATTTTTATTAAACACCCAGGTAGAAAGCACTCAACATAAATAAAAATGAATTAAAAAAAAAAAAAAGATGTTATGCTTGTTACTTGTTATCTTAAGGAAAAAGATAATTAAAAAAAGTCAATGTATGTTTGCAAAAGTTGAAAAACTATATGTATCATTTTTTTATTTTTTATTTTACAAAATGTAACAATTTCAGTCTAACTTCAAAATAGGACCTAATCCCTCAAGTTAGTAAACAAATAATCATAAAAAAAAGGAAACTGATTAAATTTTGAAAATTACCTAATTACATTTCATGGCCAAAGTTAAGCTAAACCATATTCAGCTCATTTTTTTTTTTTTTTTTTTTTTTAAATTGTAAATAAAATTTAAATTTAATCCCCAAATTCCAAGAATTACTTTCACTTAGAAATTTTATTTTGAAAGACAAACTTCAAAAATGATCAAATTGATGGGAAGTTTGACCTAAAAACTGATTTTTGAGTTTGATGGCTCTGTGTCTGGACCATCTGTGGTTGAATGGATTGAGAAGGTTGAGCTGGTCTGTAATTTAATGTGTACCAGGTAAAAACATCCAGAACACATAGTTCCTTTAAGGCTAATGGGTGGTGCATTTGCTGTCTACCTGCAACTGAGAGAGGAAATAAAAGAGGATTTTATCCAGATAAAATCCACATTGTACACAGCTTTTGCTACAGATGGTTTTCTGGCTTATGGGCAATTTGCTGAGTGATGGCTCCATCCCATAGAATTGGTGGATGTCTATCTGGCGGAGTTATGAAAACTTTCCATCCTGTTCAGTGGAATGATGACTGTGGCCTGGCATGTGTGTTTGTGCAAGGGTTACTAGACTGGGTTAAACATCTCCTTTTGCTTTGACCTGGATGGATGAATTGTCTATCGACCAGCTGTTGACTTGAGCTTGATGACAAGCAATTATGAAAGATGAAGTACTGGAAGAGGGACTGGCAGTTGTGGCAGTGCAAACAACATGGGATGAGGAAGGAAGCTTTCCTACTGAGGGATCCATGTGGCTCCATAACATACTATCATTGCAACAGTCCCAATCATTTTGCAAAGGACTGCAAAGAACCACACACCGAAAGGCAGACACCCTGGATAAGGTGTTACAAGTGCAACATGGTAGGCCATGTAGTCTGCAATTGCCTGGGAAATGAGCCAGGGGAATAGGCCTTAGTGCCAGTCTACTTCCCAAGCCCCATATAAAGGAAGCAATACCTGCAATTGCCATATGCATCAATGGAATCAGGAGTTTAGCCTTGCTAGACACAGGCTGTTCATGGTCGCTTGTAAGCAGACCACTTTGTCACTCTTGGAAGAGGAAAGAAGTGGACATGCTCACTGTTGGTGAAAGGACCCTCAGGTGCTCTGGGGTAGGACTTATTCAACTTGATGTGAGCAACAGGCCCCTATTGATGTTGAGGTTCTGGTTGTGGATGGAAAATTGCTTGGTTTCAACCTGCTGCTCAGATTTGACATCATCAAGAAGTTGGGAGGAGCATGTGTGACCAGTGATGGGACTGTGAGCTTTCCTCAACTTGACCAACCTTTGTGTGCAGCCATCACCATCAACAAGCCTGACTTCCATGCAGAGTATGACCAGAACAGGAAGATCTGGGTTGTGTCTTGGAAGTGGTCTGGTGACCAGACACCACCTGCATTGAAGAACCAGACAGCTGAGTATCCAGTACCAAAGCCGCTCAGGGAGGAGTATACTTGTGAGCTACGAACCTGGATGGATAACAGCTGGCTACTTCTATATCCTGAGGAAGAACTTGGCCCCCCAAGGGCCTGATCCTTCTAATGCCTGTGCTGAAGGAAAACAAAAGGTCTGGCTGGTCATGGATTATCGGGAGTTCAATCAATATGTTGGCATGCACATCACTGATGCAGATGTTGGTATGCGAAAATTGAGGGAGTGGCGACAGGAAGGATCAGATGCTGGATTTGCATTATGCCTATTTGCAGATCCATGTTGACAAATCATTATGGCCCTTTCAAACAGTGCAGATAGATGGGCAAAGATATTGCCTCACTCATTTGGTTTTGGACTCAACATGGAACAGCTAATCAGGCAAACAATTGTGAATGTTGTGGTTACACAGGACAAGACCATCCAGAGGGCCACATCCTTGTACATCGATGACATATTTGTCAATGAGAGTATATGCACTGCAGCATGTGTAAGAGCACATCTTCAGCAATTTGGACTAACAAGTAAGGATACAGAGCATTTAGAGAGTGGCACATGTGTGCTGGGATTATGTGTCTGGGAGGAGTGGGGCAAATTGCAATGGAGTCACAGGAGTGATCTCCCACCACTGCCTAACGTGCTCACTCATTGGAACATCTCACTGTGTGGGAAGTTGACTGGACATTTGCCAGTATGTAGCTGGCTCTGTGTTGCAACTGCATTCATAAAATGGCATGCAAACTCTGTGATGACTGGCTGGGATGATGAGGTGTGGGACCCACCCCTGACTCAGATGCTGACAGACATCATTACCAGATTGGCACAGAAGGATCCAGCACAAGGTGATTGGTGTGTTGATGGATGCAAAGTTACTGTGTGGGTTGATGCAAGCTCCTTGGCCACTGGTGTCATTGTGGAAAGCAGCAAATCCCTGGTTGAAGATGCCTGTTGGCTGTGATCAGAATGCGAAGACAAGCATATTAACACTGACAGAGCTTGATGCGATCTTGAGAGGCATCAATATGGCACTGCAAAGGAAAGTGACTGTGGTTCATCTGAAGATTGACTCAACATGTGTGCATCAATGAGTTTCTGATATGTTGTTTGGAAAAGTCTTGAGTGCACACAAAGGCAGTGACAGAAATGTTAATAAGACGTTGGCTCAGCACAAACAAGGAACTGGAGGAGGAATACAAATTGACTATTGACAAAGCACTGTCAGATCCCATGCAAACCGAGTTGATCAGCTCACCAGGATATTGGTTGGGTGCAGTTTGGAAAGAAACAGAACCAGTGTGCGCCGCATCTATAGAAGAGCAGGAATCAACCCACATTCAAGCCATCCATTGACATAGTTGGCATCCTGGTGTGAAGCACACCTTGTATTTTGTAAGATGGATCCATCCTGAGGTCTCAAAGGTAGCTGTTTGGGAGGTGATTGGAGAGTGCGAAGTGTGCCAATCCATTGACCCAGCACCAGTGCATTGGAAAGCTGGATGGTTGGATGTGTGCAAGAATTAGAGGCTGGCATTACCTGACTGATTGACTGTGGCCCTAGTCAGTTTTCCACCTGGTGACTTATCACATCAGAATGCTGCCAGCATCATCTGACTGCTGGAGTCACTATTCTGCAAGAGAGGGCCACCTGCCAAGCTGCTCATCAACAATGGTGCAGCATTCTGTGGGGAGGTGTATGTGAGGTTTGCATAGAACTGAAGCATCTGACTTAGATTTCAGTGTACCTATCAAACATCAGGGAATGGCATCATAGAGAGATGCCATAGCACCATCAAGCATATCACTGCTCAGTTGGAATGTTTCATTATGGAGGCATTATATTGGTATAACGTGACGCCAAAAGATGACAACAGTTTTATCAGCACCAGCTAACTCTATATATAACTATCAAGCCTGCATAAAGATATTGCACTGCCAATTGAACACACAGAAACTGGAATCTACAGAGTAGGAGATGATGGTATGGGTAAAGACCCCACATGGTCGATGTTTGATGCAATTCAAAAAAGGAACAGTGACAGGGTTTACAGCCCACATTCAGTTCTCATCAATGGAATGCCATGCCATATCAGAGACTCTCAAAGATGACCTGCATCAGAGATCTGCATTGTACAAGAGAAGATGATGGCAGTGATAAGTCATCTGAAAGTGACTCAAATTTAGCTGCTTTTTTTTCAATGCAGGGCCAGATTATTCATCTATGGAACCAGTGGAAACAGATGCTGAAGACATGATGATGATGATGCCAATAAACCACCATTTTCCATTTGATTGTTAATTGTCATTTATGTGATCAGGAGATCAGGGATGGATGTTGGAGAACTTTCCACCAATTTTGGATAAAAAATAAGAAAGTAAATGTGTTTAAATCACAAAATATCTTTTCATTGAATTAATATAACTTTTTAAGTGGAGAATTTCAACTTGGCTAGTTATATCAATTTGTCATGCACAAAAAAAAGTCTAATCTTTTAGGTTTTCCCCTCTAAAATGAGAAAGTAGCAGTAATGCTAATCCTTTAGCAATTTTGAAAACAAAATTCATTTTTCTATATATAATGATAAGGAGTGATTTAAAAAAATACACTTACATATCAGCCTCATCACTTAGTGAATTAAAAAAATACACTTACATATCAGCCTCATCACTTAGTGAATTAAAAAAATACACTTACATATCAGCCTCATCACTTAGTGAATTAAAAAAATACACTTACATATCAGCCTCATCATTTAGTGAATTAAAAAAATACACTTACATATCAGCCTCATCATTTAGTGAATTAAAAAAATACACTTACATATCAGCCTCATCACTTAGTGAATTAAAAAATACACTTACATATCAGCCTCTTCATACATGTCAGTTCCCCTTCTTTTAGGTCTTCGTGGAGAACAACTGCAGGATGGCTTAGGATCTGTTCTGTAATAAACAAAATATATATTTTTTTTTTAATTATTGTGCCAAGATTATTGTTGCTATTAGCATTATTTATAATTGGCAAAATAGGAAATAATTTAACCATTTACACATTATTGAAAAATGCTCTGATTTCCTGCAGATATATTTTCAAATTTTTTTTCTCTCAATACTGAAAGATAAACCTTACAGTAAATGTGACAATACTTTTACTAATTAAATTTTTACAAAAATATTTAGTAAGAAAATTTTAAAATTATATTTTTACAAAATTATAACAAAAGTTGATAGAGTAAATATTTCATTTTTTCTATGAAATTTTAAGAACAATGTTTTATATTAAAATGGATTTAACATTATTTCAAACTAAGTTTATTGCTATCTCGAGTTTGCAATGTTTTAGATTGGTATTAATTAAAAGATTTAATTTAATTTTGACTTTTTATTTATTTATCTGATTTAAAAATTCTATAATTCATCAGTTAACTATGTTTTTTAATTAGAAAAACTGTAAATTCTTGATTAATAAAAACTGCTGAATAATGTTAATTCTGAAATTGTGTTTACTATTCTTTATAACCAATCTACCAAATAAAAAGTCATCTGACAATAGTCTTCATTAAATTTTTCAAATATATTCAACTTTTATATATTAAATTCTAAATATAATTTCCTAATGAAATGCTTAAACCAAATAAAATTAATTTCATTAATTTTCAATGAACAATTGTAAAATAGTTATTGACTATATTCACTATCATTCTTTAGTAAAAAATAAAATTTGTACAACTGGATTTTGTGAAATAAAAGGGTAGAGTAAGAAACAATGAAAAAGAGAGAGTAATAGAATAGTTAGAAGAATAGTAAAACAGTAATAATTAAAAAGTGTCCAAAAGTAGCATCAAGATTGACCATCATTGCTATAATGTAGACAAACATTTTAGATATTGCTTTAAATTTTTAGATATTTATTTCAAGGCAAAAATAAGGGGAGAATTTACATATTTTACATTTTTGTCAGATTTTCAAGGTGGCATAAAATATCTCTCTTTATACACCAAGCCTATACTTGGAGATATATATATATATATATTATAAATTAATTGATTTAAAATATGTTTTTTTTTCGCTACACAGTTCCAACCATGTTTCAAAAAAATAGAAGCTAAAACCTTTAATTTAATTTTGCAATTAAATTAAAAGCATTAGTTCCATTTCATCTTCAAGCGAATTTTGGAGTAACTTTTAAAAATTACGGGTTTTAAAGACACAGCTAAAATCACGTTTCCATGGTTACAGAATATTCTACTCAAATTGAACAAGGGGTGTCTAGATTTTCCTTATGTCAGTATCATTGTATCAGTTATTAGCTACAATTTGGTAAGGGGTAGGGAGGTATTTTACAATGAAACCTGACATCAGTTGAATGGATTTTATATCTTACTGTTCTTTTTTTTATTTATATATATATATATATATATATATATATATATATATATATATATATATATAAACATAGTTGTACATTCAGTAGACATACACTTATGATTTTATTTTTAGTAATTGTCTCATATTAAGATATGTGATTTATATATATTCATTTTATATTAATATTTTGATTAAAGCAATATTTTAATTATTTTTTGTCAATGGATCATTTCATCAATTGCAGATATGAACATATGGAATGAAATTTGCATGTACCAGTATAAAAAAAAGTTACCAGATTTTGATTTGGGGTAAAATATTTTCACATGTGCTCTGAGGATTTCATACTAAAGATATGTCTTTGCCTAAACAATATGATTATTTTAAATAGAATTAAATCTAATGTATCATTAACCTTAAGTGGGTAATAATAATAGATTAGTAAGAAATAATTTGATTCAGGATGAAGTTCTTTGTTAATGAATAACATAATCAAAATTAACCAATAGCCTGCATATATGGAATTGGTAAGTTATGTTCAAATTTCATCAAAAGCTGTTTTGTTCATTTTATACTAATACTATTGGAAAAGACAAAGCCATCTTTTCTTCCAACTCACTAGTTAAAATAGTAGGGCAACTTGGGCTCTTTATCCTTAAAGAAACTAATTTGGAGAAAGTCAATTTTGAATTCTCTCCACTGACAACAAATCATGAGACAGCATGGCAGGTTTAAGCCCTGCAGTGAACTGGAGAAAAAAAAAAGGCTGACATAAACAGAATTTAAAAAACAAGGGAAATATTTGTGTGCGTAACACTATTCAGAAATGCCACTGAGCAACACTTATCCTAAAATAAGATACAGATACTAGACTCATCATAATCAGGGGTGAGCAGGAGAGGACACAGATACTACAGTGATCTTAAGAAGCAGAATTCATAAATATTACATTTTGATTCCATGTAAAAATACCAAGTCATATGTAAATAATCCTGTCATATATTTAATATTGTATAATGCTAATTCTAAGATACTGTTCATATTCTCCAGATTCCTGTATAAGGAACATGTCAAGAATATGTGAAATATTTCAATTTTAAGGTTAAACTTCTTGAAACATTCAAACATTTTTAACTGAAAGAGATCTGTATGAATATTTACATTATGAAGTTGTAAAAGTGGATATACAAATCCAAATGTTCAATATGTTATTCAACTTTTATTATATATAAATATAGATGTATGTGTTGACATAAAAATCAACTTTTCAAGTATACAGCAGAAAAGATGATGCTTAGGGCATAAAACTGAGATTCAGTGTTGATTTCTATACCCACACTGTTTATATTTACAAATGCTTTATTCCTGATATTGAGCACTCTCCCCTCATAAATATACCAAATTTTAAACATAGTTGTGTGTGTGTGTATATATATATATATATATATATATATATATATATATATATATATAAATATATACACACACACAAAAATTAGATATTTTATTCAAATTACTCCTAGGTACTCAATGCAAGTGTCACCTAGAATAGTCATGCCAGTGTGAATTTTTCATCTTATAATAATAAAATAAGTGTGTTAATTGAAATAAATGTTTCACCAGGAATTTTTATATAAGTTTAATAAACGTAAAACAAAATAAACATGCCATACTAAATAAGTATAATGCCAAGGTTGGGGAAATAGAAATAATTTAATAGTGCCAGCACTTGTATATCTACACAAGATTACAAATGCAGAAACCAATATCAAGACTAATATCTGATATATTTGCCAACATAAAAAAAAACTGCATCTTTTGTTTTATTTTCAAAGAGGAGAATGGATTATAGTTTAACCAGTTTCAGAATATTTGCATATTTACTCTGGAAACACAAGTCTTATACAGATTAAGAAAAGAATGTGTATAGTCATTTGCTATGCATTTGCTGTATATTTATTCTCATATTTACACATGAGAAAGTAAAAATAGAAATGCATTAGGTTTTTTAGTTATTTCCTCATGTATTTACCTTAAAGTTTCCAGTAATGGTAGTTTTATTAGTTACTTTGAAAATTCATTGATTCATAACAAGTAATTTAAAAACAGACCAACAACTAAACTGACCTTTTATAGGTTTAATGTCAGCTAAATTATTTTTTTAAAAGTTCATATCTTTTAAAATCAGTAGATTATCTATTTGGCTATTAAACATGAAATTTATTTGTTACTCTAGCTAGATTTTACATCTCAGCCAATCTGTTCATCAGCTTTCACTGGAATCTATTTATCTAAGGAACATTTGTCTAAAGAATATACATCTACAGAATTATGGTTTAATGTGGGTTGTATTACTTTATAAACAATGCATGCAAATAAATGCTTATATAAACCAGATGTATCATCAGTAATTAATGTTGAACTGTCTTAAATATTATTCTGTAATGTAGTGTATATCAATAAAATTTAATATTTTGTACATGAATAAAGTGTTAACTTATTAAAAAAATATTATAGACCAATGTTTCTTAGATGGTTATTCCATTATAGACCAATATTCTTTAGGTGAATGTTCCTCAGACCAATATTCTTAAATCTGCTTTCACCAGATGTAAATGCATGACAAAGAGGAAAAAACCTATTTCCTCTTTTCTTAAACAACAAACCAAGGAATTCTATTGTCCAAGCAAGAATTGATTACTCTAAAAATATTTATGCTCACTTCAATTTCAGTAAATATTGAATACTTTTATTTTTAGAGCTTTTATCAGAAAATTAAAAAAAATACCCTTGTATCTAACTGATAGTTTATTAAATTTAATTTAACAGTCTACCGAATATTTGTCAGTTAATAATGAAAAAGGTTTGAACTTTGAAGTATGTCGTTCACAGAGTTGGGTTATGTATGTATGTTTGTATACAGAACCATGTCAAAGTTATCATTTAATTTCTAGTAAATAAGAAATATGTATCGAGATTTTCTTTTTAAAACAACTAGTGTAAAAATATTTAACTAAGTTTTTAACATATAATCAAAAGGACAAAATCATAACTTTTATTAAACATACACTCAATTTAACTGTTGACCTTTTTATAGGTTGTAAAAGTTAAAACTTAAAGTTAAAACACTAAAAAGCAAAGGTTGTTACACCTTCAATTTTATGATTTTAAGTCATGTGAAATTGGAAAATAAAAACTCATCCCTTTTCTCTGTCAACCAGTTTGTAAAAAAACAAAAAAACAAATATAAGTTATTTTTTTCAAAATAACTTAAGTAAACTCATTAAAAAAAAAAAAAAGAAGATATTCAACTTGCCAGCATTTAATGTCAATAAAATCTGACATGTATTTAATTTTTATTTATTTTATTATTACTTTTTTCAATATTCATCATTTAAAAAAAAAAAAAAAGTACATGCATTATTTAATTATAAATTTAAGAATAATTTTGCGCTTCACTGAAAATTGAACTCTTTACAATACATTTTTCTATGTATTATTAAAAAAAATGATATTTATAATTTATGGATGTTGGGGATTTATTTAGTTATTGTAATTTTTGTAGTTCAGGTATATTTTTACTTAACTAAGGAAAAAGTAAGTTCATGATGTGAGTGTAATTGGAAATAGAATAGAATTGAGTACTCATTCAATAAACATATAACAAATGTTTTAAAAAAAGTCAGTTTTTGTTTTTTTAATGGTCGTTTTACGTTTTCTCTAATTCTAAAATCTTTAAAAAGTATCTGTTCCTTTAAAGATTTTAAACTGCATAGTGAAGTGAAGAACATTTTGAAATTAACTCCCAACATAAAGGCAGCCCAAAAGGACCTTAAAAATTTTAGAGGCTATTTGATCAACTAATTTTTATGTTTTGTGTACTCAAAGAGAGCAATTTATAAAAATTTATAATACTTGGCACAAATTCACATAATTAGAGTGTTAATTTGTAGTATAACGCCTGCAGTCAGTTCGCATTAGAAATTTCCAGAATACTTACATTTATGTGTAATTGTACATACACCATTCAAATCTGGCTTGATAAATTTGATAAAATCTACCATTTTGGAGTTATCGATAGTGAAAGTTTGGATTCATTCGCGTTGTGGGCAGCCATTACTGTCGATGTTCGCATACATTTGCTGCAAAATAGTTATCAGTGTAGGTATCACTGCACAAACTGAGCGTGTCCAGATAAATAGTTCTTGTGTGCAGTAATTGAGACAAATTTAGACAAGAAAGATCAGTTCCACATTTAGCTTTCAACAGAGAATGTATGCAAACAACGACAGTAATGGCTGCCACCAATGATGCCAATGAATCTGAACTTTCACTGTCAATAACTCCAAAACAGTAAATTTTATCAAATTTATCAAGCCAGATTCAAATGGAGCATCTACAATTACACATAAATGTAAGTATTCTGGAAATTTTTAATGCAAACTGAGCATGGGTGTTACACTGCAAATTAACCAATTAGAGCACCTGGTAAGGACAAACTTAAGTAAACAGTTTCACAATAAGCATAATCAATTTATAGCAAAACATGATAGAACGAATCAATTTATATATCGATACGCAAAAATTTATCCTCAGATAATTATTGTCCAAGAATAAATTTTGAGTATCAGTATAAGTTATTTGTCATTATTTTATTAAAATAATGACAAATGATTTCAACAGAACTGATAAAACAAATAATTAATCAATTAGATGTGTTGTAATTTTGGATAAAAAACTTTTTTTTTGTTAAAATACAATAAAAATCTACTTCTTTAGTTTAATTAAAAATTGTTTTCTTTATCCGTTTAACTGAACAGAACTCAGCTACTAAGTAGCTTAAAAAAAAGTGAAGCACGATGGATAGTAGCTCCGATTGAGGAATCGAATGGCCAAGTTCGAATTCCAGTCGAATCCATTACAACATTCACTTCTTACGACGTATTGGGAAAGGTATGAATTAATCCTCCTCTTCCCCCCCCCAGCTAAATAGCAGGATAGACCGGGTTCTATAGCCTTGGATGCCAACTGGTCTACCGCAGAAAGAAATGGCAACCTACTGCGGAAAAAAATCTGCCTCGTCAGTCATGTATCGAAAGTTACATGATCGCCTACGCATGTATCATGCATGACACATAACTGATTGACCTTAAAAAAGTGGGCCCTACGTTTTCAGTTATGTGCTACCTTTCGATACAAAATTTTCCACCTTGTTTGAACCTAAAATTTAAATGTTAAAAATACCATTTTTATGCGCACATAAATTGATAGTTTATGGTCTACCCTACGAATTAAAACCACACATTAATAAAAAAAAAAATGTAACTTTGTAGAGAGAATGTAGAGTCACAACTTAAGCTATGCAAAATTGTTTTGAAACAATAATTAATATTACGGAATTTTGTTAATTTTTCGGAATAACAGATAATAATAGCCATAAAGGTTGAGCTACTTTATTGAAAGAATTTGCAGTAATTTGGGAGAAAATTCCAAATAGATGATTTTTCGCGGCAATCATAAAGGATAAAGATGGCATATGTTTATAGACCTACTTCTTAATTCATCCAAACACTTGTCGCACGTGTCTAAAAAGAAGAAAAAAATAAAATGAAATTACTGAGGCTTACAGTTACAAAATAAATAAATACGCAACAGCGTGGCTAATAAATTCAATGCAAATTACCAGTGTAGTAATTATTGGACAAAAATCTTAAACATTGTTTTAGGGGAGAAAATGAAGATGCTTTTTAGTAATTAGTTTTATTTTAATTATTTTTATTTTACACAAAAGAAATTTGACCACGACCTATTATCCGATTGACGCATTTTTTTTTTGCATATATAACTCGAGAGATTTCTTTATTATATTCATATTTTGATTAATTTATTTTAATTAATCAAAATTTATTGCAGATTTACTTATTAAAAAAATATTTATGCAGATTTACTTATTAAAAAAATATTTAAAATAGTTTAGCTTTTAAAGACTGTGTTTTTAAACTAATTGTAATAATTCAGAAATATTAAGACAGGAAACTGAGGCAATTTCCCAAAGTACGAAGAAACAGCAAGTTTTAGAATTTCAGATTTAAAACAAAGATGCTCGTATGTTTGTTTTATTGAAACGTTCACGTTTTTAATTTCACTTCGTTTCTTTTCTATGAAAAACTCATTTCCCACAAAAAAGCTGTTAAAACTTGAAAAAAAATAACACTACTAAAATAAATACATTTTTAAAATTTAATTCTCATTTAAATTACATAACCCCTTCTCCCTAAAAAAAAGTATACTTTTATCTTCATCGATCAGCGATGTTAAGGGACATCCAGAGGTCTCATGCAATATTGTACACACACGTGTGTTATTAACTTGTTCGTTCTTACAATTTAGAACTTATTAATTTACACTACACTGACAGTAATAAATAATATTACTTAATGCAGAGAAGGCGATCTTGTTATCAATTTTATTACCGTTATTACTCAGTACTTTACACCACCTGTATTGAAGTTATTATTTTTATATCCATAAAAATACGTTTAAGTGAAAAAGTAAATAAATATATTATCTTTAAATTTGTTGTTAACTTAAAATTTTAAAGGAAAAATAATTCGATTTTAAAAACTGCTAGAAAAAGACCTAAGTTCTTTGCAGATTTTTAATTTTTTTTTTTTTTTAGCTTAGTCTTTTAATTTCTATTTACAATGACTAACGAGGTTTGGTAAGGCTACAAAATGTAGGGTACCCAGAGGACATGTAACGTTTTACTACTAATTTAAAAAAAAAACTGCGTGTCTAGATTACTGACCATTTGCTATTTATGGGACACTATTTAACCGGAGTCCCGTAGCAGAGGCTTGCTGACCCGAATTAACAAGTATGGGTTTTCAAAAAACATTATTTTAGAGAGTAGACTTAGTGAAACTGAGTGATTACTATACGTGACTGAGAGATATTTAGATTTTTAGAGAAACTAAAAAGTGAATTTGGAAAGATGAGATAATCTTCCAAATTTGATAAAGTACACAAATCTTTTCTTTAGTTACTTAATAAAAGCAGGAGTTTCAGATGTCTTCGTGGACACATGGTTAGATGACTATCTTGCGTACGCGCATTTTTTTTTCTTTTAAATAAGCTAGTTAATAGAAGAATAAATAATAAATATAGGATATTTTTTATAATTATGATGTGCAAAATTGAAACAAAATAAAATACAGTGTAAAAAGAAAGACTAAAGAGGAATTTAAATTAAAAAAAGAAAAGTCAATACTCAATCAATATACTTCTTGAACTAAATTACTCATAGTGTTTCATGGTAAACAGAGACAAAAATAAAAATAATGAATAACTAAAAAAAAAACACTGATTTCAATGTGTTGAAAGAGAAAGTTGTTGGCTGAGAAAACAGACTAAAGGTTTTTTTTTGTGTGATTGTGTTTTAAGCTGGTTTTACTTACCCGGTGATAATAGATGAAGAAGACATAACATCACTGAAACAGACTGGATTAGGTGTAATCGAGTTTGTTTGTACCCATGGCATAGAAGATGGTACTGTATGTTGCCAAGTCACTCCGACCCCAGGAGCTGTGCTGGGTGTGGTTGCCGCTGAAGTTTGTAGATAGGGATTTGCTCCTAAATGGTGATGGTAATGAAGATTAAGGTGTTGGCTGTGTGGAGAAAGACCTCCATGCATTATGGAGACAGGTGGTGACCCCATCAAAGAATATGACTGTGTCGGAGATGTAAATGTGAAACCAGTCTGAATGTGTTGGGCAGACGGCAGACCACCATAATTAAGGAATAAGGACGACGGAGGTCCAGGAGGGGAAAGAATTGGAGAGGAAACTGCAGAGTTGCATGAAGAGACAGTATTAGTTGTACTCGTGGGTACAGATGAGCCACCCAGGGATCCCGGGGAAGAAAAATGGGTAGCACATGGTAAGCCTATGCCTGGCATGTAGTTATTGTTAGAAAACTGGCCAAAGCCTGCAGGGTTTGTCGACATTGGGGACAAACTACGAATAGTTGCTTCAGGGCCTAAAATCATGTCCCTCGCATGTACATATACAACCACATGTACATATACACCGCGTACACCCCAAAAGTCTAACTCACTCACTGGGGTGAGCACAGCTCAAAAGATGATGACGACACGCTTGCTACCACGACGGCGACAATAAAGTGGTAAAAATAAATAAAACAAATAGCTTTTCTTCTGCGAATGTATGGGAAACAAGTCTTATTCACTCCTTCTTTCCGATTGTGTAGTAGATGTGGAATTTTCCCCTATTCCTTTTTGTTTTATAGTTTCCTAAAATATATTAAGTGCAGTATAGGCATAACATAGTAAGAACACTTTTTTTTTAAAAAGGAGGGAGGAGGAAGATAAAAACAAGCACACAAATGAACAAGGGCTTTTCTTGTGTTTGCTTTCTTTTCTATTCTTTCTTTCATTTAAAAGTAGTTAAGTAAATTATTTGATACATAGATATCCGTTTTAGAAACCCTTAAGATGCAAGAAGAGGTTTGACTCTGACTGTGTACTTTGATTAATCTCTCAAGCTATTTTAAAATTTGCTGGAGGAGGAGTTATTTTCGTTAACGTCCGTTGTTGTGTCGGTACTCGACACAGCGGCCACTTTAGTCTGGTAGATGTAGCCTCGTTTTGCCTTTGCCGTAAATGGACGCATCACCAACACAATGGGTTGTTATTCTTCAACACTTACTGCTTTTCCAAATACCTTTAGAAAAAATATAATAATCATATTAATTTTAGAGATATACTTGATGTTTTATATTAGTTTACACTATAAATTTGATTAATTAATTAAATTACGACAGTACCATGTGTAAAGCATTAATTGTTGGCACCGTGTAGTTGGCAATAATACATGCGCGCATATATGTATGTGTATGTGTGTTGGTATTTATCTATTAGAGCGACAGTGCTAGTATATGAATACGTGTGTGATACTGTTGATAAGCTTGTTTATATATTTTTTCAACTTACACTTATTTACTTGTCTTTGTGCTATATAGACATTCGCATTATTATTGTTACCCTGTATTGCATAGTTGTACGTAATTTCTTAATTACTGCACGTGCATTTGTGTGTGTGTGTGTGTGTGTGTGTGTGTGAATAAAGTGTCGGTATGTATCACACACTTTGTTTATTCCAGTAGTTAAGTACGTGCGCACCTTTATTCATTGTGTATATTAAAAAGTATTTTCTCTTTTTTAAAAAAATCACCAGTGATTCTTCTTGGTTTTCCAGCATTTCATTTATTATTAATTGATACTTCTAAACAGCGTTGGTTACACAGAAGAACTAAGAACAATATATGTCTACTTTTTACGTTTTTAAAAAATGCTCTCTCATATATCGAAATTATTTATTTACAAGTAAAAAAGTATCATTTTTTTTTGTTTGTTTTTACCTTATTTTTTTAAAAATGTCATATTTCCTAACTTTATGTAAAAAAAAAACGTATATTTCCGCACTAAAAAAATAAGTAATAAAAAAAACCATAATTTATTAAAAAAAATCATTAAATAAAAACTAAAAAGTACACCAGAAAATGTGTTAATGAATTTGAATTAACAAACACTATCAGGTTGAGGTATTTTGTCAAAATATGGAAACTAAAAACAGTAACAAGTAGTTTTCTGAAAAACAATTTTTACCATCCCTTGCTACTTTAAAAATTTTATCTAAATGACGGAATGATCTATTATTCTAATTCTGTTTTAGTTTTAATTTTTAACCTTCTTGAAAGAAATTTTAGGAATATTCAATGGTGTAAGATTAAGAATTTCAAACGGTACTCCAGCTGTATTAACTTTTCATACTTTTAGCTTCAAGTTGGTGAATCTTTAGCCATTTTTGATGAAACATTTCTCAGAAAAATTATCAAACCAAAGAATAAAAAATAGTTAATTCATTACTAATAATTTTATAAAAATGCATTGAAAATCAAGAAAAAAATGATTGTGAATAGAAAAGAATTAGTGCAAGCATTAATAGAATATTAATATGATAGAATATGTAGGTTATTATAATTGCTAATGGTTTTACTATAAAAATGTCTAAAAAATCAGGAAAAGTCATTTGAAATGATCAGGGATTAATACAAACATTACTTATATAATTGAGTTATATGTATAATGCAAATAATTTTAATATAGAAAGCATTGTAAATATGAAAATTCATTAATTGATTTTACAGCAGAAGTACATTGAAAATTGGGCAAAAAAATGATGTTCAGTGCATGGGAATTAAAGCATAAATTACTGATAGATTTGGGTTTATATATATATATATATATATATATGAATTCAAGTACACTAAATATTGAGTAAATTAATGTTATGACTTAACGTCAAATTTCCCTCTACTTTATTTCAATTGAAAGGGAAGAAACAAGAGAAGTGAAAAATGCTAAAGGTCATATTAGGTCTAAGTTGTCAGCTTTACTGACAATTGTTTTATTTGGGGTTGTAGAACAGACTGTCATTAAACCACTGGGTTTGAGCTAATGTGTCTATATACCTGGTTTCTTAGCAGCAATGCTGTTTGAGTCTGTAAGAAAAAAGGATTTTGAATGGTGATTTTTAAGGCAGGCAAACAATTTTGATGTAAAACATGCAGGTAGTATAATGGATATCTATATAGATTTCACAAAGATGTCCTTAGCAAAAGCATGAATTAATCTTTTCTCAAGCTATTGACAAATTAGCATGGTAGATTAGGTTTTCTTGCCTTGGGTGGCAACACATCTAAGAGAAGGAAAAATTCAAATTGCAAATCATGGAGAAGGCAACAAAAAATACATTCCACTATCTTACAAGAATACCTATTAATTCGTAGATAAATAAAAATCTATGGAACATGGTATTTAAAAAAAAAACAGAATCATAATATCCTTTTTTTTCATTCATTATACTTTTTTATTCTTTGTGCAATATTATGTAGGCATGTGCAGTTAGCATAATTGTTATCAATGCAGAAAGTGGAATCAACAAGACAAGTTCAAATTCAAAGCTAGTCTGTTGCATGAATGAATGTCCTTGGGAAAGACATGAATTGATCTCTTCTCTCCCCAGCTATAGGGCAGATTGGTCTTTGTAGCCTTGGTTGGCAACCAGTCTAAAAGAAAGAAAACTTTTAATTCCAACCTGTGGAGAAGGCAACAGGAAACCATTCTACTATCTTTCTCAAGAACTCATAGCAATTCACAGATAAAAAAGAAACTAAATCTGCTGTAGAGAGGCATGATTATCTACATCCTATAATTTTTTTAAGTCATTTTGAAATCATGCAACACAATCTTTCTACTTTGTTTATTTACCATTTAGACTTGTGTCATATTAAGCAAAGCTTAATGAATATTCTTCTATGTGCCATGTCCCTTCAGGACATGGACAATCATGGCTCTCCATAAATTCCTATCCTTTCTAATTCTTGGTAAGGTTTATCTTTTTGCTATCTCTACTAGTAGTAGTAGTAGTTCTTCTTCTTGTCTCTCTTCTGGATGTGGGTGATCATGGTTCTCCACAAATTTCTATCCTTTGTAGCTCTTGGTAAGTTATATCTTCCTGCTATCTCTCCAATCACACAACTATTTACAAAAGCTGCTGCTGCTGCTTCTTGCTGTATCCCTTGAAGATAAATTCCTTATCCTTTGTAGCTCTTTGGAAGTTTTCTCTTGTTGATATTTCTTCTGACTTAATCCATTTACACAAGTTTGTTACATAAGTTAATCGCTACTTTCCTTTATTATGTCAGTGTTACATTTTCCAGGCCTGCTTTACTCATTATATACCCAAGAAATTTCAACTGTCTCTGATTCAGATTATGTCCTTTTTGTTTTCATTTTTCCCAAAACTTTGTTGTTGCTCAAATAAGAAATAAAATGTCAAATTGCAAAGCTATGTAATACAATGAAAAGATATATGTGACTCTACATCAATGGTCCCATGTTTGTTATCCAAATTAGGGTTACAAATATGCTCCTGAGGACTGTGGGATGATTTTGAAAAAAATGTGTATGTCGAAGAAAATAAAAAAATATTAAAAGTGAAAAATAGTGCAAATATATCTGCATCACAGTTTTGTATTATAAAATATCACTAAGATTCTGGAGCAGAAAAATAATCGTGAATAATAAAGAATTGATAAATGTATCAGAACTCAAGATATTTATATCTAACAAACAGGGAGCCTAATGCAATTTTTGTTTCATTTCATCTGTTTTGGATAACTGATATGCTACATGATATGTTTACATGAATTTGTTCTTTTTATTTTCTTATATTAACATAAATACTGAGAATTGCTGATTAATAAATTACAATAAAATTATTGGATTAAAGTAAATGAAGAAACACTGAAATGATGTTTCTACTCTGGGGGTTGCCAGGCCAAAAATAAAATTCTATACTTGGGATCATCTCCAAAAATGTTTAGGAAACATATTTATAGTCAGTTTCTTTATCAATTTTTGTTCTATAAAATATATACTAGTTTTCAATCATTTAAAGCTCCAAAACTTAGATTATTAGATGAACACATTATAAGCATAATTAAAAACATTATTCTTATCCTGTTGATTCTTCAACACAGGTTAGTCCTTATTTTACTTTCAGTTTATTTTCTGGTTTAAACTGTTTAAATATTCTTAAGGCCATTGGTTTTTAAATGGATATTGATATACTGATTGAGAACAAAAATTAAACAAACATAATAGTGTATATAAAACTGTATTTAAGTTTTTAAATATTGGATATTGTCAAGAAAATCATCTTAATAAAATACTTTTAAAGCTGCAGACTGAATAACACCAAAGCTTAATGCAAATTGCAGAAATTTACAACAGTTGTGTGAGACCTGAATACCAAAGTAGGTGAGGAATAAGCTGGTGAAATGGTTGACAATTTTGAATTAGGATTCCATAAC